TGATGGAGAGGAGGTATAGATTGGACATCCGCAAGAACTACTTCACAGTTAGGGCAGCTAGGAGCTGGAACCAACTTCCAAGGGAAGTGGTGCTGGCCCCTACCCTGGGGGTCTTTAAGAAGAGGCTGGATGCCTACCTGGCTGGACTCATTTGAGTCCCGTTTCTTGTTTTTGGGTTTTGTTGTTCTCCCGCCCTGGCGGGGGGTCGGGCTAGAAGATCTACTAGGTCCCTTCCGACCCTTAATCTATGAAACTATGAAACTATGAAACTAAGACTCCAAAACTTGGCCTGTAGAATATAAAAGTGAAATGAGGAGGAATTGCTAAAAGGCAGATTTTGCCATGCATGTTCACCCCAAATAGTATTGCTTGAGTAGACAGTGGCATCAGTACTATTGCTTTCAGAGTTAAGATACTGCTCAACAAGAGTTTGGATTTCAGAATCTGGCCATAAAACATTAGCTTATAAATATAAAACGTGGTAGTGAAATACTGCATTGAGAGCAGTAAGAAAAAGGAAGTTATTTTCCAGATTCTACATCACCAGCTATTAACTGTTAAATAAATAAAAATTACAGGAAAAAGGGCACAACAATTTTTAGATCCCTAGAGATGTAGCACTCAATATTTTTTAGAGAGCTCTGCCATTTTCCCAGAATAATGTGACACTACTATAAGAAATGTACTTATTTTAACTGTAAAAAATCAACTTAGGATGCAAAATTACCAGGCAGTTTAAGTATATTTATAAGAGTGGGTACCTAGAGTTCAAACAGACTTTAAGCACCCTCTTTAAGCACTTAATTAAAAAGGATATACAATGTTTATGTCTGTTTTGTTACTCGTTAGTTATCAGCATGGAAATATAAGTTAAAAAAAGCTTTATGTACTGCCTACAGACAATAAGGCAAATTAGGATAAATTTTCCTTATTACTTCTTCCGGCAAATCTAGAAAAGGCTAATACAGATTCTGTTCCATCCATGGGCAGCTGGTGCCTCCTGATTCTGGGGGGGCACCTGCAAAAAACAGTGCTGCTGTGGCGAGCACCTGCAGACGCTGGCATTGGTGGTGGGGACGGCTCTGTTGGGGGGGGGGGAGGCATGTGCCCCCCCTACCAGTCGCCAATGGTTTCATCCCAATATACTTCCCCAACTCCCACTCCTTCAGTGAGACAGGATCATTAGTAGTCTGTTCCTTCATCAAATACTCCCACTGTAGATAACACTAGTTAAAGTTTTAATGTATACATTGGTACACACTAAAGAGCTATAGTTATCTTACAGAGCTATGTACCAAAGAGATCAATATGATGGGGTCCCCCACACAAACATTTTTGATCAGACAAGTAGTGAGCCATTTTTGGTTCCCATTGAAGTGCTTATATTTTTATTTTTATTTTTATTTATTAATTATTTATGCATTTAGTAGATTTATGCTGGATTGAGATTGAACTCCACTTGATTACACTTTTTAACTTGGACTATATGAAAATATGGTAGAATTTGTGCTATAAATACAGGCTATTTTGCACAAAAAAACCCAAAGGGCATGTATTGGTACTTGTATCATAGAGGCAAAAATTCCATAAAGAAAACAGAGGAATGACTCCTAGATACCAGGGTACCAG